TGGAAAAGGCTGAAGAAGAAAATCTGTCAAAAGCAGGGCCTACCCAATTTGCTCTTCTTAGACCAAAACATTGCACATCAGCAGGTGCATGTGGGACACACACAGCATGTGTGTGTATACACCACCAAAACCCTAAACTTATGTTACAAAGCTTGACTAGGGACTCTTCTATTTCTTCCTTAATGGAATTGGCAGTTTGCTTCATGAGTTCCAAAGACTGCATGTTTCACAACTGTGAGAAATGCCCTGGCAAAGAAAAGATTGAAGACCATCTACAACCTTACATTACCACGGATGAATTGGAATTCAAACAATAGGTGAGTACAGATAGATGCACTCTTGTCACCATGAAAAGATCTGCAGATGAGTTCATGCAAACTCTGACTAATGATATCTTCAACCTTACAAAGCATCATTACCTGTCTAAAATACAAGCAGAAAAATTTGAATCAATGAAGGAAGAAATCACTGGAAATGAAGGTATTCTACAAATGGAATTTGCAGAAAACTTTAGTTTTATAATTCAGGATGAGGTTCAATCATCATTTTTTAGTAAAGGACAGGCCACCATACACCCTTTTGAACTCCACACAAGAGAAAATGACAACAAGAAAACAGTTTGCTTTGCTGTCATATTTGATCACCTCCATCATGATACAGAAACAGTTCATGCTTTCATTGGTGAAATATTGAAAGTGATTAAGGTTGAATTTCCTCAAATACAAAAGATTCATTATTTTACAGATGGTGCAGCCAGCCAATATAAAAATAGGTAAGAAATATAAATTTAATGTGATTTATTTTGAAAACTTTAATATAAAAATTAGGCATATATATATATATATATATATATATATATATATATATATATATATATATATATATATATATATATATATATATATATATATATATATATATATAATATATAATTTTTACAATATTATTTATATATATTACATATATATTATTTACATTATATACATTTATACATAAAACATAAAACTACATTAAAAACATATGTAACATAATTTATTATTTTCTCATCCTCTCTCCTTTTCCTCTCCTCATCCTCTTTTATACATAGTACAATAATATTTATATTTATTTGCTTTTATGCTTTGAAACAGGTACAATGTTATGAATATGTCATAAAGAAGACTTTGGACTCAATTGTGGGAGGCACTTCTTTGCCACCGCTCATGGCAAAAGCGCTTGCGATGGCGTGGGTGGAACAATAAAGCGAATCATTGGGCGTCTTTCACTCCAGAGACCAGTAGTCAACCAAATAACGACACCAATGGACATGTTTGAAGAGGCTAAAAAGACAATAATGATTATCAGGTAAATTTCTTATTCAAAAAACTTGATTAATGAAAGATTTATCTATAAATAATCTATAATTATCTATAAAAATTTAAATCATTTCATAGCAATTTTATCGATTGATACATTTTTTAAAATCCTTTTATAGACCATTTAAAATTCTACTACTTAGAGTATTTTATAATTATTATCTTGACTAGTCTGATAAAATAAATCATGCATTCTATTTCAGGTGCTTTTACGTTTCGTCCGAATTTATCCAGTCTGAATCACAGAAATTCAAGGATCGTTTCAAAGGAATCCAATCTGTAAAAGGAATTCGTTCACTTTATCATATTATCCCATATTCAAAGTGTACAGTTGCCGGGTTTCCAACATCTAAATTTGGTGTTGATGATGAAACTGTGTTTCATCTAGGAGGCAAACAATGTGGTAATGACTGTCTTGTTTCAACCAACCGACTAACCAACCAAAAGAACATGGTTGAGATAAGTAATTGGGTACTAGTTGACTATTTTGGTGAACAATACCCTGGTAAGGTTGTCAGTAAACAGGACACTTTATTTATAGTTAGCTGTTTGGAAAAGGTTGGCACTTATTTTAAACACCCTATTAAAGACGATATGCATCCCTATTCTATTAATGACATTGCTGCCATTGTTATTGAACCAGAACTTGTGAATATACGAGGGTTTTATTCATATTCTGTGAAGCAGTATTTGAAAAAGTAGCAACAGAATGACATTTTACTGTATTTGAAAATATATTAGAAAATTGTGTGACTGTTAATGTATCATATGCTGTTCATGTGCATTGATCATAAACTACTTATGCATACTTTAACATACCTACCATATTTGAAATTATTGTACACATAAATTGATTGACCAAAATAGTATTGTACATAAAATAGTACTGTATATGTTGTTCATGTATATTGATCATAAACTAATTTTGCCTTAGTTTAGCATACCATATTTGAAAATATTGTATACATTTCCAATTATGAGCATCCAGCAAAAAAAAAATCATAGTTTGACCTAATGTATTTTTTACACAACATTTAAAAAAAGAATTATTTTTTTAGCAAATGTAAGACCTACCACAAGAGATTTATCACTGTTAATTTGAGACCAAATGGTATTACCAGAAAAAATCTATAGATAATCATAAATTGGCAAAAAAACAAAAATTGGGTTCCGGGCAAAAAAAAAATCAAAGTTTGACCTAATGTATTTTTTTACACAACATTAAAAAAAAGAATTATTTCTTTATCAAATGTAAGACCTACCACTAGAGATTTATCACTGTTAATTTGAGACCAAATGGTATTACCAGAAAAAATCTATAGATAATCAAAAATTGGCAAAAATAACAAAAATTGGGTACCAGGCAATATTCAAACTGGTTTGGTGTAAATCTAGTTTTGAAAAAGCTCTATATTCTTTGCTTCACAAGTTAGCCATATAGCAATGAAAAAAATATATAAGTAAGTTATAACTTTTTATTTACTAGAAAGCTCTACCAATGCATCAAAAATTTCAAATTATCCACAAAAATGCCATTTAGCCTGTTTTAAGGGGGTTACAAAATTTTTCTAGTATTAAAAAAGTGAGCTATTGTTGTATTTTTGTAAATATTGGAACCTGTATAAACAGTTTTTAAAATATCAATCACTTGTTTATTACCAGAAAAAAGTTATAGGCATTTAAAAGTGGCAATTTTGCAAATTTCACAAAAGTTGCATTTTTTGACTGCTAGACACCTTATCTTTGATTGGTCATATCTCAGCAAATAGACAAGGTACTGAACTAATATTTCAGATTTAACCATTTAACATCATGGGTAATAACTGGTAAAAAACGCTAAGGAATCCAAGAAAGTCAGCCACAGCCAGTGTCTGAATTCTACTGTTTTGACCCACTTTTCATTTTCTTCTTATTCTTTACTGCGACTGTTTCCAGTGACCGCGTTAGGATAGGAGCTGGTGGGCGATCGCCCAGGGCGCCGAATAGAAAGGGACAAAATCAGGTAAAAAAGCAATATCTTTGATAACTCGAGATTTTACCGCATTAAATTTTAGATTTTAAAAACTATTATTTTTACTTTAAAACTTATTATTGTCTACGATAGAAAAAAGTTACAAAATTTTATGTTCTTATTTGTACTTGAATTTTTATTTGTACTTGAATCTTTTTTGTCTCGAAAACTCAACAATTACGTATTTAACTTAACAATAAATGAGTGATTATTCAATCAGTGTTACCTTTGTAACACTAATAAGGGTTATTAAACAATAAGTGTAGAGCTGCAATTACGCAATTAAAAAATTCTTGCTCAAATAACGTTATAAGAAAGTTTTGTTGTGGTAATTCATTTTTAAAAATACTTGAATTGCAGAGATAAACTTAATTTGTTGATTTGCAAAATGTCTGAAAAATCAATCGTCGATAGTGTACGAGAATTATTTCTCAAAACAAGAAATATATTTTTTGTTTTTAAATAAATTTCCAGGGTAGGATGTTTATTTCCTAAAACAAGAAACGTGTTTCTTGTTTTAAGAAAATATTTCGTATTAAAAAATTCAAATAAGCTTCAGAAGCTACTTCAAGTAAAGAGTTGTTGTAAAGAAAAATTAAAAAGAAAAGAAAAGTGGATTCAAGGAGCTGGCTACGGCGAAATAAATGCAAACTCGGAACCTTAAAAGTACATTTAAAAATTATTTTAATTTTACATATTTTCTTGAGATATTTATAAGCTGAAAACTTATATGTATACAAATACTATCGAGCATTTGCAGCGTTTAAACGCCGAATTCTAAAGAAAATTAGCTTTAGAAACAAGAGATCTGTGGCAGTAACGGGATTCAGCATTTATTGGCGTTTAAGATAGCTAACATGGAGTAAAATCCAAATGTTTATACTTATGTAAAATAATGATGCTTTTTAAAAAGGTGCATTTATTGGAAGTTGGGAACAAAAAATGCCTAAAATTTTATCCCCCCTGCATTAAACGTGACAGAAAAATAACAAGCTAAAGAAATAATTATTTTATTATTCTCAATGAAACTTTTATACATTGATTAATTTTAAGTGTTGTTTTATAATCTGTAAGCGTTTAAAAAAAGTGTGATATTTTAAAATTTGTATGGTCATAATTTATGAACGCTGCGAGATAATAATGTGAAAATTAAAATTTATTGATGAATATAAACTTAGTTAAGGTAAGCAAAAAATTATTTAGCCAAATTGCCGCTGTCACGTTTGGTACAGAGATAAAAATTTTAGGGCTTTTTTTGATGCCAGCCTTTACAGTTGTTAGTCATTGGTGTTGACCTTGTCTTAAGGCTAAAAATTGAGGCCTTGGCCTTAATCTTGGCCTTAAAAAAAATGTT